GGCAAAGTTGAAGAGGAATGGTGAGATTGGGCAACCCTTTCTAACCCCACTGCTTGAATGGAACAGTAGAGAAAGGTGGTTGTATGCCCTCACTCTACCTGAGGTGTTTGTATATAGGGCTTTTAGGATGTTAATAAACTTCTCAGGCACACCATCCTTCAATAGACACTCCCAGAGAACAATCGTATCCAACGAATCGAAGGCAGCCCTTATGTCAAGAAACACTACGATTGTTGGCCTTTTATAAGTGTGGCGATATTCTAACATTTGGCGGAGGGTGAAGCTTCGCCCGATTTCATTACGTAACAACCTTCGTCTGTGGTCAAACTCACAGTCACCCGGAGTAGACCGACGGGCTTCGATGAGTTGTAAGGAGCCTGAAGAAACCCAGTGCTCATAAGCGGGACGTTTCGCGAACCCACAACTGACTTGACGCGCCATTTACATGGCGTCATGCAATCGCAACCAACGCTCATCTATACTTTTCGGTGGAATGGTAGCTAGCCTTGAATCTAGCTCGGTTCGATACTTACTAGCAACAGAAGTTGCAACCAGCTTGCTAACATTAATCCTTTGGTGGCGGTCACTTCGATGGCCACTGAAAAGTAAGGTAAGATTGGCGCAGACCAGGGCATGATCAGATTCCAGATAGGTACTCCAAAAGGAGCGGCAGTCTTGTACACAACCACGCCAGCGGTAGCTGATCGCGATGTGATCAATCTGAGTCCAGGCTTGAGATGTAGAAAGGGGACGCCAGGTGGCACATCGGTGATGACTGTGCCGAAAGTTAGTGCTAGCCAGAAACAGGTTGTGGTCTGTGCACAGTCGCAGTAGACGGTCCCTGTTATCTGTCCTACGACCAACAAGTCCCCATCGGTCACCTAAACGACTCTCTTCTGTGCCTAGACGCCCGACCTGAGCATTCAAGTCTCCGGCTAGTACTACAATATCTGTCGAACGCACTTTCTGGAGAAGAACAGTTAACTGGTGGTAGAACTCATCCTTGATTGCATCCGGGCTGCAATCTGTCGAGGCATAGGCGGAGATGAAGAAAAGACATCGTTTCTCACGCCGATTACTTCTCACTTTGATGGAACTTTCTAATCTAACACCACACAACCGACTGTTAATGGGGATCCAGTCGACTAGTGCTGCCTCAGCTCTAGCGCTTAGTGAGACACCAACGCCAGCAAGACCAGACGAAGATGCCACTGGGTCCCCGGATAAACGCACGTAAAACAAGCTTTTTGAAGTGACAGATGGAGAGCGAACTTGTAGTACTTCACCAGAGTCTTGGATACGGGTCTCGGATAGACAACACACGTCAATATTAAGACATTCCGAAGACGTAACCAGCCCTATCTGTTGTCCGACCTGCACAAGTGTGCGAACCTTAAAGGCAGCCAGTTTGAATGGTGCGCGTGGTTTCACAAAAACTGCTTCAGTGCTCTTATTCGGTGGTAACATACAATTTTCAACCAGGCAGTGACACGAGAACGTTTAGATAGAGCCGAATGTCCACCATAGGCGAGCTGCTGTATAAGTCGAAAAATAAGGATAGACAGAGTGGAAATAAAAGACAGTGAATAAATGACGTGGTAAATAATAATAATAATAATAATAATAATAGTATTAATAATAATAATTAATTAATTAATAATAATAATAATAATGTGAATCGTTTGACGGTAAATCGCGGCGTTAATAGTGTTTTCAGGGAAAATCATCATTTTCATTATATTTGTGTGTGGGCTGTGATACTGCCCGGGTGCCCAGACAGAAGCAGGTGGTTTTCTTAGGGAGCCACACCCCGAGCCTTTGACCTAAGGGTCTAGTCCACAAGGCAGTGGAGCATCGTGAGGAGATGCAGTCCCATGGAAGCCGGTGACCAACGATTTGTTCATACGCCATTCGTTCTTTCAGGATACTGGAGCTCATGTGCACCATTGATTTGGGATCCGGTTATAGCGCCGGACATTCGCTTTTCGTCCTCTCATTTTCGTAAACAACACCCCCGCCACGAGAAGGCAGTGAGTAGGACTTCCCTGGCAGAGGCCGTATACGCGTGGCCGTGTGAGAATATTTCGAGAGGGAGGGCGAACGCACCCCACTTCCGGCCATACCAGGGCATTTGGGGGCTAGTTGGTGACTGAATGGTCTATAGATCATACATAAAAGTATATTTATTGACATATTTCTGTTTTTCTAGTCTAATAATAAATTATTTATTTGATATCAATATCACTGTTATCATATCACATGACTGTTATAAACATGTGAATTTACAAGGAATGACAAAGCAATATACGTATCCAAGACTGTAGACATAATGTCTAATTAAAATAGCTGATGTACTTTGACCGAAATCGTTACTTAATACGATCAGACACAATGTAAAACGAAATACTTGTCATGAGAAGTATAAACTAAAAACGTTGAATGGATAGCAGTAAACGAAACTTACGTTATATAAGAGTTTGGATATTTCATCAATATATATATATATATATATATATATATATATATATATGTAATCCGCTAAAGCAGCAAATTATCACTTTTAATTAATGCTAGTATTTTAATCATGAGCCACAGTGCCACGAATACTACCGGTAAGGCGTTGCTGAAAATAGAAAAAAGGTTTATAATTCAGTCATATAGACTAAGCACAGTAGTTACAAAAACTTGATAGGTAAAACTAGAAAAAAACTTAGTATAATACAATCTTACAAACTCAGTTAAAATCCCAACAAAAACGTATTAATTATTCAACAAGAGAAATAGATTTTTCGTCATCCGTTAAGGTCCAGAAAGTATTGACAGTCGAAAAATTACTGGCAGTTTACAGGACTGTGCCAATGGCGCATCAAATGGCATCCTTGTCCTTTCATAAAGACATAAGTTTTCCGAGAATAGAAGATGAGAATACCAAACTTTTGATTGGGTGCAACGTACCAGGCGTACACGAGATGGAAGAGATAAGAACCGGAAAGACGAATGAACCGTCTGCTGTGAGGACTATATTGGGATGGACGCTGTTCGGCTTTTACGGTGAACCCCGTGAAAGCAACCGTGTACTGAATTACCTCTTGGCGAAGGGGGAATTAGAGGATAAGTTTGAACAATTGTATTCAACTGAATTCAAAGACCCATTTAGTCGTACTTCATCGATGTCTGTGGAAGATCGTATAGCATTACCAGAGTCGTACAAACCACTGGCTAGTCAGATTCATTGCTCTGCCGATGCCTCTGAATCTGCATGTGGTGTTGCGGAGTATGCTCGTTCCGAAAATGTCTCTCGTCAAGTTCATTGTTCCTTTCTATTAAGTAAGTCCAAGGTTTTTAAGCCAAAACCTGAAGCACCATCTGCTAATAAACCCAAATAAAATCTAAGAACGCCTAAGGAAAAGAAGGACACCAAACTGAAAGTCAAGACTACGAAAATGCCGAAGGCTACTGTAATAAAGAAGCCAGTAGCTAAGACCCTGAAGAAGCAGGCAGCACATATTCGCCGTGATATCGATAATGATGTTGAGAAAGGCGCCCTTGTACGAGTTGTGAATAAGAGTAAGGGTGAATCTGGTAGCTTTACAGGAGCCAATGCTATTCTTAGACAGATCATGTGTAGTTGGAACCAGAATAAGATAGCAAATGCCCTTCTAGAGAGAGGTTGTGAATGGCGCTTCAACTTTCCGGGAGCTAGTCGTAGTCAATAAGAATTCTGCAATCACTATTGTTTCAGAAGTTATTGACGGATGAGTCTTTAGGGACGTTTTTGATAGAAGCTGAAAGAATACTGAACAGTCGACCACTCGTAAAGCTAGTTAATGACTGTGATAATCTGAATGTACTTACGCCAAATAAGTTATCGTTAGTTTAAAGAGATGTATCTTTCGACGAAGCGCAGATGAGTAAGACGTGCTTATATAACCTATTATAGAACAGTTGGCTACGGAAGTACATACCAACCCTTCACTTCAGGTGAGATCCAAGTCGTTGGACATGAGAAGGAACCTACAATCGGGAGACTTAGTGTTAGTAAACAGTATTGGCTCACCGAGAAATCTATGGGGTAAAGCCATTGTCGAACAGGTAAGTTATGGCCCTGATGGACGAGTTTATATAGCAAAGTTGAAAACTGCAAACGAAGAAATCGTTCGGGACGTACGAAGCCTATGTCTACTGGAAGAAGCCGGCTATCTGACGGCGACGGCAACCCAGGACAATGGATGTGGTGCGCGTTTCGGGAGGAGTGTAAAGTATGATCGATAAACCAACTCACCAATGATAAAGTGAAACGCCCACCACCACATTAACTTTCTTTGACCTTGTATGACTATGTCTTGTTCATTCACCAATCACCATTTTATATTCATTACAAAATAAGATTTGCCTTGTTGACTTATTTTTCCTATTCTGTAGTTACTGTTCGGTATGTTATTTATGTCTCTGTTTTTCCCTGTGTTAATAGACTGTACTGTTTATTTTGTATACTAACGGTGTTAATTTATGTTTTAGAGACAGATAAAGTTTATCAAGCCAAATAGCTTACTTGTTCTGACTTTGGCTAAACCAAGACTCTGTGCTCGACAGTCTAGAGAATAGCTAAGTTACACCTGTAGGAAATTGCTTCCTACACTAGTCTTAAAAAGGTACTAAAAATAGGAGATATCTTAGTTACCGAGGAGCTTCAGTAAGTCGGCTACAACGTACAACAAGGCACATACATGCATCGGTCTAAGTTGCCGTACCTCATTAGCATAACAACATGAACACCCAATTGATAGAAGTAGTCATTTCAATGGTATTAATGTAAAAAAAAAATACATTTCATATAAGGATATGATACAGCAAGAAAGAAAGACATGAAGTAGTTTTAATCTCACAGTTTGAGGGAAGACAAAGAGTGTATACACCTATGCCATTGTGATCGATTCTGAACCATGTCACCCAGAGTCTCCAACCATTGGTTACGATAGTCACGCGGACCACTTGAGGTTGTGAAATCAGATGGCAGTTCGCCATGAGCTCTCATTTGACTAGTGTTCGAGTAAAGAGCCTTCACAAGGTTTATATGCTTCTGAGGTACGCCTTTCAATGATAGACGCTGCAACAGAACCTCTCGGTCTACAGAGTCAAATGTTGCTTTTAAGCCAAGAAAAAGTATTATTGTCGGACGCCGTTAAGCATCCCTGTGTTCTACGATCTGTAGAATGGTGAATATGTGATGAATGCAACGACGACCAGGTCAGGAACCTGCCAGATTTTCTAGTGTTTGCAATCCACGAGTTTTAGTTAGGCGTCCGATAATTATCGATAAGTTGTATACTGATCTGCCGTCAAGTATTGTTTGTGCTTTACCGAATTCATTAAGCAAACAACGTACTTAAGAATAATAGACAAAAGCTTCCAGAAATCTTGATCAACAGCCTGCAATATATGACTAACAAAAGAGGGAAAAATATAATCATACATTTATATCCACCAAACAAACATACCTGATCCAATTCTTCTTTAGTTTTACTTTCTATAGCCCGTATATCGTCCATAGAAAGTCCGTGCCATTTATCAAGCCAACAAAAAACCTGACGGTTGAAATTAAGGAAAATTCGCCTTTCTTGCTACATAATTTTAAAAGAAAGTAAGAAATATTGTTTACATGCAACATACATTCTGTATCATATTTTCAACTCGGCCTTGAATACCCCACCATTTAAATTCACATGTGACAAGTTTGTAGGCGCACATTATTGGTAGGTCTGTGTTCTAATCAATTTTTTTAAAAAAGATAAATGAAGATACGAATATACTAACTTCCCACCATCTTGGGCCTACTAATGGACCTCGACCAGTTTTTACTGACTGATATATTCTAGGATCACATGTTGCATCATAGTCAGAAGCACTGTGCAATTGATCATTTACAATATCAATATAAATAACTTCTCGTTGAGCCAAGAGCTTTGGTGAAAGGTTGTGAATCTGATAAAATGATTCTTTTAAAAATCAGTACTTACATTTTCGATATTAACTTTATCTTGTACGTGCATAGACTCAATCATCAGAGTAAAGTTATCTTGCATATATTTAGGATTCTAAAAAATGTATGAAGTTATTTATGTTTACCTGTAAAACTGTACGACAGTAAGGGTACGCATTCCAGGCCCTTTCGTCAATTTCAAGTGATCCTTTTGGCGCAAGCAAACGTACATAACCAGGTACTTTCCTGGCCAGATAAAAGCGTTTATGAGTGTACTGCCCAGAGGAGAATTCTTCATCATTAGCTTTTAAAGGTGACTCAGGAGGATTGACTTGAGGACTAAATGGTTCATTTACCAGAACCTCTATTCCCTCTCCACCTCCGGTTTCATTTTTGGATGCCTCTGCAACAGCCCACAGCTGTCCAACACGGTATTCATCGACCGTTAAAGGCAGAATTATGCGACTACATAAATAGGGCAAAGAACAGGAAAGGGGTCATACTTATGTGCTATAAGTGAAATGCTGCATCCTTAATCAGTCAAATATAATAATAGATAGAACTGAATGCACAACGTTCAGCAAAGCGCATCAATCCAAGTTGTAACAGGAAACAGAAAATCAATAAGAATAGAAAAATATTGAGCAAGGGTTTGAGTTGAGAAATAACATGAACAGCGAGTAACAAACTAATTAAGAGTAAAATAGAACAAAAGGTTTACAACATATGGTTTTGATCATCTTGACATTCCCAAACAGGTTTACATCTCTATAAACAACTCAGACTAGTCCTTTTTTCTGTGAAATATGTACTTGTAGCATTAGTAACTGATAGCTCTTAAAAAATTTAACTGAGGTCGTATTTGTTCAGGATTCTACAAGGAAACCATAAATTAATGACATCTATATTGGATATTGTAGCAGCTTCCTAGAAAAAACCAACTGGCAACTATTTCGATAGGTTAGGACCAAGTTAACATAAGGATTAAGAACAAGATTAAGCTATCTATTTGTTGTGAGAAAGGTTTACGTATTCAGCACCCAGATAATAATGAATTATCTTAACCAAGGCAGGTGCAGCGAGTTTTGAGCCTGAGACCTTGTGATTAAAATCAAAGTGGTTTAACCATACAAAATGAGCTGACTATTAATAACTAGTAATAATGGCGTTAATAAAAATAATTAGTGTTTATGAGCAAGTATTTATAAGAAAGGTTGGACTGTTATGATCAGTATAAGGTCATCTATGGTGTCTTTTCGGGTACGCAACCTAAGTGGGTGATTTTCCTAATGAATCACACAAGCTATATAAAAAATAGACGAAATAAATTTCAACAAATAAACCGTCACGTTTTAGAGTTTTCTTAGTTTTACTCACTACTATGTCTTAGAAGCAAATGTCTAGCTTTATGAAATTATTTGTCAAGAGCTTATAATCTATTTTAGTTTTTATGCAATTCAACTATTTACATTGAGGGTGCAATATCCAATAACTCGTTTTCGTTAAGATTTGCTAAAGATCTAACTAGTTTTCCCCAAGTGTAACATTAATAGTAATATTTAGAAGTTATTGACGATGAACCTTAATGTAGCCAGTAAATACCACTTTACAAACAGCAAAACTGTCAGTACAACTCATGAAAACATGGCAATGTATGATTTTACACTAGTATATAGAAGATAGAACACAATGAAATAGTATTTTAACGGTATTGATAAGAATCATTGTTTCACTATGATGTATCTCTAAAGTTCTACTTACGTATGGTGATTTCAACTCCTTCCTAACTACATTGCACCAAGGAAACAAGTGCTCCGCATAACGTATGGCTCAATGCTTAATACATTAATATTTATTCGTTTAAGGAATTGGAATCAATTATTTTCAAGTAGACCCACAACGCCAAGACATTTCGGTCATCTATTCGAAGTATATTGGCTCATTCGACGGTCTTATAATTTAGTATTTGCGATGCGAAATTTAATTTTGTAACAGAAAACTCATGAATTCCTTGTATTTGTTTTAAAGACAAATTTTACGAATTTGAACACATAAAACTCATTTATATGGCGAATTTTACTATTTATTTATTTGAACACATAGATATTGGTACGAGGGGCACTAAGTAAATGTGCGCCACACAAATCTCATTAGGTTTGTGTGAGGACTATGGTACTGCCCAGGTTCCCAAATCGAAGCAGGTGGTTTTCTTAAGGGCCACACCCCGAGCCTTTGACCTAAAGGTCTGATACACAAGGCAGTGGAGCAGCGTAAGGAGATGCGGTCCTATGGTAGCCGGTGGCCAACGATTGGCTCATACTCTATATGCTCCTTCAGGATACTGAAGCTCATGTGCACCATTGGTTCGGAATCAGGGTTTTCCAACTTCCCTAGGTGGACTTTCCATGTCCACTAGTCCGGTTAAAGAGCTCATAATTCGCTTTTCGTCCTCTCGATTTCGTAAACAACACCCGCCACGAGAAGGCAGTGAGTAGGACTTCGCTGGCAGTGGTTGTATGCACTTGGCCATTTGAAAACATTTCGAGAGGGAGAGCTGACTCTCCCCACTCTCGGCCGTACGAGGATATTTGGGGGAGAATAGTTCTATATGATCTAACCAAATTTAGCCTGATTAGTTTTCTATTGGCATATAATCTTTCCGCTTAAAATACTGTATTTTATAGCCCCTAGTGTTGAAACATTTAGGGGTTCGTATCTTGTTTACGAAAACCAACTAAAATGAACATTTCGAAGTGGACAAAATAAACAATTGCAAGCTAAAGAATTAGATTAAACTATTATTAGCACTCACATAAATCGAGTTACGATAACTTCTTTAGCGTAAGTAGTTTAATAATTGATAAGTAAGAGTTCACAGATGAGAACAGGTTTGATGAGCACGATAAAGCAAGTGTAGAGACAGTGATGGATAGACTGTAAAAGAACCATAATTTTAACTCCCGAAATGTTGATTTGGTATACCCAGCCGTTAGCGAAATGAGGAGGCTGAGGACAAGTGTACGAGCATGTACTTGGTTAGTGAGCTACATGACGAGCCCCGGGCTGACTGAAATGATATACTGAACACAAACTATGTATAGGCTTGGCAATGAAATAAAGTTATGTCAGAAACAATTTCCCAGAATGCTCATAGGGTTGATTTTTCTCAGACAAGTTAGTTATTATGAACTTGCATACAAATGGATCATAATATGGGACTTTTTAAATGAATAAATGAAATTAACAATGACGATGCTCTGATTGTGAGTATATGTGAACAATGTTTCATAATACCTACCATCCAAACTGGAAATGATTAATATGCCATGGCGTGAAAATAAACTAGCTATATTAGTTGAGAAGTGCCAATCAGTCAGATTAACAAGACCATGTAAACCCCCTTCCCTCGAATGCCCTGGTACGGCCAAGAGTGGGAAGAGTCCGCTCTCCCTCTCCAAATGCTCTCACATGGCCACGCGTATATAGCCTCTGCCAGGGAAGTCCTACTCACTGCCTTCTCGTGGCGGGGGTGTTGTTTACGATAAAAGGAGGACGAAAAGCAAATGTCCAGCACTTTAACCTGGTTCTAAACCAGTGGTGCACATGGGCTTCAGCACCCTGAAAGAAGAAATGGCGTATGAACCAATCATTGGTCACCGGCTACAATGGGACTGCATCTACTTACGATGCTCCACTGCCTCGTCGGTCAGACCTTTAGGTCAAAGGCTCGGGGTGTGGCTCCCTAAGAAAACCACCTGCATCGGTTTGGGCACCCGGAAAGTATCACAGCCCTCACACAAATCAAGTTAGATTTCTGTGGCGCATATGTACTTGCTGCCCCTTGTACCGATATCTATGTTAAAATAAATATGTAAAACCCCTACCAAAAGGTGTGCAAATCTTAGAGGGTGTGGAGATTGGGAAGTATTTTAGAGCCGAGTGACCATGAAAGCTTTATTTGTACCTGGAAAACCATAGTAACTTTTAAATTTATACGTAGGTTAGTTAGAGGACATTTTTACAATATGAACTGTCACATAAGACAATTAAGCCTAGAGACCGTGAGAAAGAAACGCACGCATATGAACACTGAGTTCAAAGATATATGAAAATCTATGATATTTGTTCAATATTAGCAACCATCGCATGTAAACATCACTATACGTCATTTCATGGATAATTTCGTTCGGAATAGGTAAATAATTTACTAGTAATAAAACCTCATTTCTAAAGCACATTATTCGGACTTAACCACGATCGAAATCAACAAATATTACCCTGAAGCCATTACGAATAACAAGTAATTACATCAAGTCTACCTACAACTCTTTAATGATCATCGCCCTGCAAATTCAATTTGGTTCACAGTTGATGGAATGATCTGATTACTAAGACTGAACAAACATCCAATATCCAACATCATATTACTGAGCTGATGATATCCTTAAAGTTTATTTGTGTTCCTGACCTAGTTTCACCCAACAGTTTCAAGACTTTTCACACTTTTGCTTGAGTAAATCTTCGCATTTGTTTTACAAGAGAACTGAAGATATTTGACTGATTAAAAACTGATATATTGAATAATAATAATCTCACTGTTTCTGTGTGTATTTGTTTCACTCAACTTCTAAGCTTGTTAGTTTAAGTCTTTGACTTCGGACAGTTTGGTTTCACTCTGTCTTTGGTTTGATATCTAGAAGTTTTCGGTCACGAAACCTAAAAATTTGAAGTTTGTTTTATAAATGTTACATTTATTATTAGAACGGTAATTTGTAATTTGCAAATAAGCTGTGATACCTGAATCGGGGTTTGGTTCTATGATCATTTGGGATCGTAAACTACAAGTAGATAGATCTACCGTGCTTCGAATACGAAGGAGAGCAAAAACTCGGAATTAACAACCCAGATGATTTTAATGACGATACTGTGTGGTATAATGGATAGTTAAAGGTTTTCTTCTCTATCAGTTTTTCGACGATAACTTATTAGTCCAGTAATGAAACTGGTCATGTCATATCAACAATGGGACTCATGATCCTAAATAGGCAATTACATTAACACAAGCAGTCGCTGTTAGCAAGTTCAAAGTAGGGATCAATAACAAGGGAGGAAATCACAATATTTAATAGCCCGCAAGTTAAATACAGTTTTGTCTACGCTCGACGATCAACCATAATATACTTTCAACATTACATAACACTATGTCACACCCATAGCCTTACTTTTCACAAAGCCAAAAGTAAGGAGGACCGAACCTAAGGAAACGTCTCTTCTGGTACTATTAAACGAAGAATGGTGGTGGCGAACCGTAATGGTTCATCCATCAACTATATTCTAACCAATCAGGCCATCACATTTTAGGTGGATTTATCCGCAACGTTTCCATGTAAGCCTAATGTATCGCACAGTGTAATAACGGTCATCTCTGCGTTCATGTAACCATAGAATTTCAGTCCCTTCGGACTGAAGACAACTGCTTTAGATTTCACATCAAAACAACTTCGTTGTATGAAAGCAGACTAAGAAGTAATCTCATACCAATATCACTGATCATTCGAGGATCGTTGGAGACTGGAATATTGTCTTTGCGCATTTCGCAAGCGACCGAGATCATATAGCGAAACGTTTAAATAGTCACTACACAGAAGGTAAATTTGGGCTACTAGGCGATGTACAACTTTCAACATAAACTCTTTGTAAGCGACCACAATGCTCTGAATCTGATCCACCATAAAATTACAAGTGATTTCGAAACAACCCGAAGAAGGCCACGCAATGCATATTACGTTTTGGTTGAAGATTGCAGCTAAAGAGGTCAAAAGTAATTATTTATGCAGATCATGTAAAGGAACGGTTGAGCTGTTATGATTTTCCGGGTAAATAATTATTTGATCTGAAACTCGTGGCCTGTGAGATTACCTCGGTTACCTTCAAAGTGGAGACATGAAAATCAACATGCTAAACATTCATAAATTTGAGATACAGATGACACAATCAGTATTTGTAACTGCTTAACAATCTAAAATATGGCAAGTTACTGGAAGATGGTGAACGACACTTGGTTGCTTTCATGTACTGGAGGAACTATTGTTAAGTCGCGATCCAAACTATTTTACAGGCCTTTGTATGATATCCGAATCAGAAGAGGACTGGAAGGACTCAAACACGTCACAAGTATTCTTGTTTGACAACGCCTACACCAGTAACATATTTTATAGTCGAAATGTTCCGACCTAATCAAATTTAAAGTCGGAAGCGAAGAGGTACGAATAAATATTTGATAGGCTTTTGTGTCATTTATTATTCTAAGCCCATATACATTATTCTAGCATTCGGACAGCTCAATCAATTCATTCTACTCGAGTCACATTCTGATCTTGTTAATTATTCGCTTGTCAACCTTGACTGTTTTTATATGAGCGCGTAGGTGTGTGCACACTTCATATCCCATTACTCATCACATGTCTGTAACTTACTCTTGTGTGCCTATAAATATTGATTAACGCTTGGTTAAATGGGATTTGACTTACCCATCATCTCCACTGAGCGTCGTATCTCTTCTCTCCATTCCATTCGCTTAATATACAAAATATATGTATTCAAAAGTTCATTCTCGTTATTTGACTTATTTAATTCCGTTATTGATTAACGTGATTTAGGTCGATGATTATATACGAGGATAGGCGAAATATATTTCGATTGCAATCATTCATAAGATCTATTTAGAGTCAGATCACGGGACACTATGGGCTATCGATATGTCGAGAAGTGAATAATCAAAGCTGACTAACGGTCGAAGTGGATGTGTAGCACGGCATTTGCACTCGTGATCTAGTGCGGATGCGGTATCGAGCGACTACAGCTAGACGAGCCGAAGACTTACAGAACTATTGATTTTGGGGATTTATTTAACGCTACAGACTCTTTAGTTAATTCACTTTCCAGAACGAGATATACAAAGCATTCGCCTTCGCAGTGAGTGTCCTTCTCGAGTGACATAACTGCTAGCGTTTCGCCTTTAATGGTGATAACAGTTGAGTCATCTAATTACAGAGGTTCTTTCGCCCATTGGATTATGGAAAAACCGGAATCCTTGTGATGCAGATAAAATTGCTGTATTTTGGCTGATATTAGAGTGATTTGAAGCTACGGCATTGTGTAGAACTAAAAGATGGATATATAGAGCACTTGGAGCTACAATCATCATAGTTATAAATATAGAAGGCTTTATTTACCTGGAACGGGATTGAATAACACTTATTATACAGTCCTCGGCTTATAAATGTGAAAACTTTGCAAAAAACGTGTGGTGATACACAATGTTACAGGAAAATTCAGTATTTGCGAATATCAGATTTACTGGTGTTTTAATAAAACAAACAAATTAAGTGAATAGTATCTTGTTTGTAACAACTACGAAGTTTTTTGATAATTCTGCGCATGTTGTGGAATTGCTATTGCCGTAAGATTGGTGAGCTTGTAGGTACCGTCATTAGAACGAAAGTGAGAAGTGTGATAATAGCAACCGCATGTGGGTCTGTTTTGTCTGGAGTATTTTACTTTACTGTCAATGGTTATGAACATGTAAAAATGAAGGTTTGAGGAAACTAACGTTAGATCACGCTTTTTGATTAGACTCGAAAGGCTGATATTAGACATTTATCTCTTGAAGAAAAGTTTCGTACCTTCGCTTCCTTGCGATTTAACGGAGTTCTGCTGATGACTCCTTCAGATTTCCTACGTTCTTTGGTTGATGATCAAAAGCAGGGTAAATCGTTGTTTAGCCTATACTATAGAGTTTGACCAGTCAAAATGATGATAAAAAATGAATCGCATTTTATTGAGAAGATAATGATCAGAGCATCCAAGAAGAAACATGGATCTCGTTTTTTTCGAAACCTTCAAAACGATGGGATAATAACATTTTCAGAATATTTGTTCCTGCTACATATACTAACAAGTCTAAATACTTTTTGATAAAGTTCATGTTTTTCAGAATCTCCTTCGGGTTTCGAAATAGCCTTCAAAATGCTCGATAGGGATTTAAGTGGATCTGTTGACGCCAGAGAATTCATGATAGTTAGTGATGATGTTCATATATGTACTTACCGTGATTTCAGTTGAACCATATAATCGCAGAAAGTACCGAAGATATACCCGATACCGATAGAGGAGCTTGTGATCTCGTAAGTTAAGGGCTTGTTTGATAACCTCAAAATGTAGTTGCTTCCGGCAGACCAAGCTTATAATACAACTCTGATGACTCACCTATTTGGCTATAATAAGACTCATAACTTGAGCTTTGAGGAATTTAAAAGGTAAAATTATAGAGTAAATTTTTATTTTAATAGATTTATGCACAATGTTCAAACAGAAGCATTAGAGGTTGAATTTCAGGAGTTTTCTTCAGGCTCATCTACAATTACACCAGTTGACTTCGCTCGCATTATTCTTCGTTATACCACAGTGTCTACTTCTGAGTATGATGCATTCATAAATCGACTTGAAAAAGCCGTTCCGTCCAACATAGTTCGTTCAATTCATTTTACTTAAAAATATATTTTAGGCAATCTCCTTCAACGAATTTCAGAAATTCTTCATGTTTCTAAACTGTTTGGATGATTTTGCACTGGCAGTAAAAATGTACACTATTGCAGGCCAGCCTATATCACTACGTATGTTTGTCACATTTTTTCCTTTTCTGCAAATAAGGTTTAAAAAATAGCCGGTTGGTGATTTTCTAGAAATTTAATATTAGTTCAGCATAAAAATCTAAACTTAGGTGCCTTAAAGTGGCTTAAAATCTTTAAATAAAATATCTAAATGTTGAGTAGTTCATTTAAATTGGACCAATAAATTTGTATTATTATCTTAAAAGTTCGATTCTCAGTAGTGAGCTTACTCGTAATCTCAGGATACCTATCAGTTTAATCATTATTTTTTCGTTACGATGCAAATTAGAATATGGTATCATTCACGTGTTAGCATAAACACAAATGACAGATATACCAAATTCACTAGTTTTATTAACAACTTCGATCACGACTGCAGAGTTCAAGTTCTAAACGCCTGCGATAGGTCGCTTAAAATCCCTTTACAATCGGTTAGTTCTCCAAGTTTTCAAACGTGAGGTCTATCGGGCTAAAAGTCATACTATATCTGATATTGAGCTATTTTGATTCATTTGATTATCTCTTTCGGCATCTCTGTTGGTGCTTGTTATCTGTGAGAAACTCCTCACTATCATTAAAACTCGGATGTATTAGGGAGTTTTACACCTCTTTTGAAACCTTAACTTGGAACATCCAGTTTTACTGCCCTTCAATAGGCTTATCTCCGATGATTAGTGAGAAAAGAACAAATTTTAGTCAATATAAACCATGAAGTCCCAAATAATTCGATCCTTACATCATGGATGTAACTTCAGTCAACCTTGCTTTTTAGATATATCTAGATGTAATAAATGATGTATATAAGCAGTAGGATTGAAGTTGAATTACACTAGGTGGCTTGGCTAACGTCTTAACTGAGCCAGCTCAACTTTTTTTGATGTTCACGACATCAAAAATCATAACAAGTCGTTCTTTAATAAATTTATTAATCTCCCAACTATTTTTATACACGTTTAATTTTCAATCTTTTCTAGCTGAATTTAAGAGAGCTGTTAAAGCATGCATTGGTAATGAGTTAAGCTCTGATGTTTTAACAGTCTTGTTTGCCTTATTTGATCGTGATGAAGACAATTGTCTTAGTTATAATGAATTCATTCATATCATGCGGGAACGACATTCTGGAGGACTGTCGGTATGTTATCCGAATTAGTTGTTAACCTTGCATTTCTTGCCTAACCCATTAGCCTTCTGAAGGTATTTGCTTTATGTTAACATAATATTACATCCTTCAAAGTTTTAAAGTTTTTTCAATTTGCTGCTTGTCATTAGATAATGAAGTATTGCTCTGCTCACTTAGTGTTTTGTTTCTTTGAAGACAAAACTTTGAAGGTTACATGTATTTAAAATTGACATTTGTTTCATAAGAAAGGTTAAATAAACACATTAAATAACACTGGAGTCGTTCGCTGAAGCTTACCATTTTTATGATATGTTAAGTAAGAAGTTTATTCTTGAAAAGGAAATTACGTGGTTACCAAAGGCATGGAAAGCAACTACATTTTGTTGCGCAGTCATTTTTATGTCACACGTTGAAAACATTTAGACTTTCGTGTCATTGCCAAGGTTTGCGTCATGCGATTGGAGTAGTAGTTTCATATATTAGTTGATAAAACATTTGAATTTATTACAACAAATTAAGTTTGCATAATTTGATAGTAAAGTGAAAAGAACTGTATATTGTACTGAATCAAATAAAATGTACACGAAGTAACAATAAAAACTGCGTGGCTCCCATCTATCCTGTCAACTCGGGCCTAATGTTTTGTCCTTGATATAGGCCGTACTGTTGATTATTTTTAACTGGTAATCGGTTTAGAATAAGAAACGGTTATAGTTTTTAAATAGTAGTAGATGTTAAAATTAAGTAGTTTTCATATAGCATATGAAATCAGAATAATACTATATCTTCACAAAGTCACTGACAACATTCACTGAATTCGTGAGCAAAATTTAAGGCACTTAATGTGACAGCCGTGATTTCATAAAAGAAAAATATGCTTTAGCTTTACACTTTAACAACTGAAAATGGAAATAAACCTTTGTTTTACACTCTTATCTAACGGCAACATTTTTAAATAAAGAGGATTTTTAAGCAAACTTATCGCCATCTAGACCATAAATCATGCTAAGAAGGTACTATGGAGCTTCCCTTGGTTATGCTAGATGAGTGTTACACTTTTTTATTAGATTACGTTTGATTTGCCTTATGGGACTGTTTTCCGATATTTTAGTTTGACAGTATTTGTATGTGAAATGTCCTCTAGGAGATCTGGACAAAATATCGCTGCAAAACACTTGATCTGCTTCTACAAAGTAACAGTACAAAAAGCATATCTGACTGGTTTTTATGAAAAAAGCAACGTTATTGTAAGAGTGCCTGAACACAAAGTAAAACAATGTGGTTTCCCTCTGGGTTAACAGGTTCATCTCAGTGTAGAACAAATTGAAGTCATATTACCTAGTTTATTTAAGTAATAGTTAGTCAAACTTAACTTTTAAGAAGCATCATACTAATTATGTGTAACACGTGTACGCTTGCTGGAGTTTGTGAATAATAAAAAGATGTATCATTGAAAAGAGGACGATATATGGTGCAGTAACTAAAAAGTTACTTTAGTAAGTTTGTTCACACGAATAGAAAATGAATGATCACAATTTTTACTTTTGTTTTCGTTGCTTTGTACAGCATACTTCTAAACATAGTCAATACGCAAGGATGTTTCAAAAGTGCTTAAAACGTGAACTCCAAAGTTCAATGAATTGAGGATACGAATAAGTGTTTTAATTCAAACTTTAAAATCAACTCCTATGCTTAAATGAATTCAGTATTACAACTCATTATTCCTCTCTTCGAAATTGAAATAACAGCAATGAATCAAAGGATCAGCTTTATTTTGTCCAACTGAATTATAAACATATTTGTTTTTGAATGAATGTAATGGGTAAATGATCAAGTCTTTGAATAATGCATAGAATACGGCAGTCTTTCATGTGGATGTTTCGAATTGAAGGCATGAACAAGTCAAGAGACTAAAACAGTTTCGTGCTAACACTTTACTCTTTGCTTACTTTTGTTTACATAATTTTTCGACGAAAAAATGTATTTCCTCATAAAAATAATTACTTAGAATGTTTGAAACCGGAAATTTATTAGGTTATTGTATTCAATGTTAAACGATCTGAAACAAACGTTCAAGGTGTAATATTTGATGACTCTCTCTGGCTGATCTATTTAGTTTCCCCAAAAAAATGATATGGATAGTTTCTAATCATCTCTGTTTCTGATGGCTAAGTTTATTAGCCATAATTAGGTAAATATTTTTTGGTTCAAAATCATTTTCATTGTGCATAAAATTTCTAAATCATACATTTATCATAATGTAATTAATTAGAGTATTGTTCGATTTGTTTTTGCTCAACAAGTCATGTGAAAGACTCTATGAACTAGTTTTTTTTATTTGCATTAAACAATATAAACTTGTGTTAGTTTATTTCGGTCATTTATTTACTCTGAAGAATTGGCTTACATCAAGTCACGAAACCTCAGAAATATGATCCTTTTACTCATTGAAATAAAACAAAAAATATATAATTATTATTAAAAAATAATTGAACAACAGTTTATATAAATCCAAAAACGTTATGTAAATCCTCTTACTCGAATTATGATGAAAGAAATTTCGCTTCATTTCTTGATACGATATATTTTTATTACACAAAATATTCTCATTTTCTTTTTTATGTGATGAAAATATTTAACTTTGACGAATTTTATTAATTCATTTTGAAGCAGTAACATTCCCTTTTGTTCTCAAACTTAAAGTATAACATCAAATAAAACTCTATTTATCATCTATTTTTTAAACTCGTTTGTTAATAGGATTTGTAACACTATTTGAGAATAATCCTTAAACAAAATAGCTACTCTTCTGTGTTCTATATGAAGAAGCAATTTTTACAACAATTTTCGTAGAAACTTGTATTATTTCCCTTTCTCAAGCTTAGTCGTAATATCAGTTGATACAAGGTGCTAGAACATAGAAATAAGAATATAATAAAGGTAAAACGATGTTTTATTTTGTTTCACTAGATCATTTGATGCGTATATATATATATATATATATATATATATATATATATAATGACGTATAAGCCTAGTCAAAAGTGAGATAGTAAATCACCGATGATAAGGCGTCATTGTCACGTCATTACAAACTGATAGAATTGAAATATATAGTCCATAGAGCTTGGACTCAGTGGTCAGAGGGTATTATTTTTGAATTGAGACTTGAGTATCTTAGGTTCTAATCTTTCAAGGTGTTCTGAAGAACAAAATGACTGTTTAGTTCCTTATGGTTTTTACTGATTATTTAGCTAACCATGGTTTGTAATGAAAACTATTTTCGTGATAAAAAACGATTTATCCTTTTTGAGGCTTCTTAAGCATAACTTATTGCTTTGAAATATCCTCCACTTTTAAGAGGATTTCTTAAGTTGATTACTTTAACATCATATGTAATAACTGTGATGTTACAGTGAATTACATTCAAAATCACACATGAGCTCAGGGGAAACAAAACAGAAGGATCAGTTGATGAAATTATTAGTAGAATGTTCAGCTGGGTTTTGCATTATTTAACCTGAGGTTAGTGAGTTAGGAATGATATACTTCAAAAAATTTAATGCTTTTATAATAAAAGTTAGTGAAAGAAATAAAGTTATGCAAATAACAAGTGTATCTGTGTAAAAGCTTAAACTTACGTTTTAATAATTGTATAAACAGTTAGCTGAGTTTATAATCTTTTGCATAAATGGCAACTGAACATTAGAATTAATTGAAAAGAGACCAGAAAATAATTTAGTATTTTTCACATTTTTTTAATACTATCGGTGATTATTCTCATTCCTATTTATTTGGTTTATTGTTTCACTCTCTTACTTACTTACTTACGCCTGTTAATCCTAATGGAGCATAGGCCGCCGACCAGCATTCTACAACCCACTCTGTCCTGGGCCTTCTTTTCTAGTTCCATCCAATGCTTGTTCATTTTTCTCATGTCTATCTCTATTTCTCGGCGTAATGTGTTCTTTGGTCTTCCTCTCCCCTTTTGACCATAAGGATTCCATGTGAGGGCTTGTCTTGTGACGCAGTTCGGTGCTTTCCTCAATGTGTGTCCTATCCACTTCCAGTGCTTCTTCCTGATTTCTTCCTCCACTGGGATCTGAATTGTTCTCTCCCACAGTAGGTTGTTGCTAATAGTGTCTGGCCAACGGATCTGAAGTATTTTGCGAAGGCAACTGTTAATAAACACCTGCATCTTCAGGATAATGGCTTTCGTAGTTCTCCAGATTTCCACCCCATACAGTAGAACTGTCCTCACATTTGTATTGAAAATTCTAACTTTGGTGTTGGTTGCCAATTGTTTTGAGTTCCAGATATTCTTCAGTTGTAAATATGTTGCTCTTGCTTTGCCGATCCGCGCTTTCACATCTGCATCAGATCCACCGTGTTCATCGATGATGCTGCCCAAATATGTAAATGTTTGTATATCTTCCGAATCTTCTCCATCAATTGTGATTGGATTGGTGCATGCTGTGTTGTATCGGAGAATCTTGCTTTTCCCTTTGTGTATATTGAGACCTATTGGTGCTGAGTCTGCTGCTACACTGGCCGTCTTCTCCTGCATTTGTTGTTGCGTATGCGATAGAAGAGCCAGATTATCTGCGAAGTCTAGATCATTCAACTACATCCCAGATGTCCACTGTATCCCGTGCTACCCTTCAGATGTTGACGTCTTCATGATCTAGTCGATCACCAGGAGAAAGAGAAAGGGTGAGAGTAAGCAACCTTGCCTGACACCGGTCTTTACTTCGAACGACTTTGTCAACTGTCCTCCATGAACGATTTTGCAGTGTAATCCATCATAGGAATTCCGTATGATATTGACTATCTTCTGAGGTACGCCGTAGTGTCGAAGAAGCTTCCATAGGGTTGTTCTGTCTACGCTGTCAAATGCTTTTTCGTAGTCAATGAAGTTGATATAGAGTGATGAATTCCATTCAATTGATTGTTCCACAATGATCCGAAGAGTTGCGATTTGGTCTGTGCACGATCTATCCTTACGGAATCCTGCCTGTTGGTCTCGAAGTTGTGCGTCTACACAGTCCTTCATCCTGTTTAGCAATGACCTGTTGAAGACTTTTCCTGGTATTGAGAGAAGAGTGAATCCCCTGTAGTTATCACAGTTGCTGAGATCGCCTTTCTTTGGTATTTTGACCAGAAGTCCTTCTTTCTAGTCTTTTGGTACCTGTTCCTCATCCCAGATCTTTCTGAAGAGAGTTTCGAGTATCCTTGCAGTTGCCACTACGTCTGCTTTCAGTGCCTCTGCTGGAATGCTGTCTAGTCCTGCTGCTTTGCCACGCTTGAGTTTTCTGATAGCCATGCTGATCTCTTCAAATGTTGGTGGGCCAGCATCGATTGGGAGGTCTGTGAGTGCTGCTTCGATGTTGGGTGGGTTCAGTGTGGCTGGTTGATTCAACAGCTCCTTGAAGTGTTCCACCCACCTGTTTCGTTGTTCTTCAATGTTGGTGATTATCTTGCCTTCCTTGCTTTTCACTGGTCGTTCTGGTTTACGGTGATTTCTAGAGAGTTTCTTTGTTGTGTCATACAGTTGTTTCATGTTTCCTTCTCTTGCAGTCTTTTCTGCCGTCATTGCTAAATCTTCCACATATTTACGTTTGTCAGTTCTGATGCTCTTCTTCAATTGCTTGTTTACTTCTGTGTATTCAGCCTGTGCCTTGGCTTTTTCTGCTCTTGTTCGACTGGTATTGATTGCTGCCTTCTTGTTCCTCCTTTCTTGAATCTCATCCAGTGTATCGACCGTGATCCATTCCTTGTGATGGTGCTTCTTTTGGCCCAGAACCTCATGACATGTTGAAATGATTGCCTCTTTTATCTCTTTCCAGTTGCTTTCCATAGTAGTTCCTTCTCCATTGAGTAGATCATGAAAGGCCTGGAACTTATTGCTGAGGGTCATCTTGAATTTGTTGAGTTTGTCATTATCTCGAAGAAGAGCCGTATTAAACTATTGTGATATTGTCCTCCCCGTTGTCCAGTGCTTCTTGAGTTTCAATTTCATCTTGGCGACCAGCAAGTGATGATCTGATGCTATATCAGCTCCTCTCTTTGTTCTTACGTCCTCCACCGTCCTCCTGAACCTTTTGTTGATGCAGATATGGTCGATTTGGTTTTGCGTAGTGTGATCCGGTGAAGTCCATGTGGTTTTGTGAATGCGTTTATGTGGGAATATATTCCCGCCTATGACCAGTTTATTGAAGGCACATAGATTTGCAAATCTCTCACCATTTTCGTTCCTTTCTCCCAGTCCGTGTCGTCCCATGATCTCTTCATATCCGGTGTTGTCAATTCCAACCTTGGCATTTAGGTCTCCCATCAGGATGGTCAGGTCCTTTGTTGGGCACTTCTCCACGATTGACTACAGCCTATCGTAGAATTGATCTTTAGCGTCTTCATAGTAGTCGTTGGTAGGCGCGTAGCATTGGATGACGTTCATTGTAATCCCCGTTTTCTTTGTTTTGAAGGAGGCTTTGATGATCCTTGGTCCATGAGATTCCCATCCTACAAGTGCATTTTGTGCTTGTTTGGACAGCATCAATGCAACTTCTTGTGTATGTGGGGCATTTTCTTTATTGTGGCCAGAGTATAACAGCAGCTCTCCTGAAGCTAGTCGTTGTTGTCCAACTTGCGTCCAATGTGTTTCACTGGTCACAAGCACCTCTAAATTGTATCTCCTCATTTCTGCAGCAATTTGGAAGACTCTCCCAGTCTCCCACATTGTGCGAGCATTCCATGTACCTAAATAAATGGTTTATCTGGTTGTTAGAAGCGGCATCGGCCTCGTGACTTCCAAAGGGACTCGGCTTTCATCATGAGGCGTCATAATTCTTCTAAAAGAAGACCTTCTGACTCTCAGGGTAGAGTTTAAATGGTTTGAATAATTTTTTCTGGTTATCGATTTTTAGCGAGTTAGTTTTCTACGGGATGTGGTCGCTAACCTCATGCCCAACCCTCCTCCTTTATCCGGGCTTGGGACCGGCAGCAGCCCCCCGGAAGGGACTTCAGGCGGAGTTATTGTTTCACTCTCATAAATGTATAAAAGAGTGAGCTACTTAAAAAAATGTAGCAAAATAAATATTAAATTATTTAATGGTCTCATGAAACTATTAATTCGTAACGGTTTTGACTTCTATTTTATAACAAGGATATCTTTTCCCTTCATAAAGTTCAAGGAAGAAAAAACAACTTCCCATAATGGACAGGATTGTGAAAGTTTGTTTATATATTTTGATTATACATTGAATTGATTAGTTTGTGTCCGATTTTAATTGCTTCATTTTGAACTAATCGGTTGTGACTGAATATATAAGTTTTGAATAGTTTGTATATTTAAATGAATATTTATGAAAATTGGCAGTTATTAAATTCATTGTATTCAATTTATTATGTAAGACATAGTATTTTAAAAAGATATATTCTTTTACAGAAAGTAATTTATGACGCCAAATAGATAACCAGTTTAAAATACTTTTAGAGACTAAAGCGTGATAATTATAAAAATACAACATAGATAGCGAAATAAAATAAAGTTAGGTTCACTATACTGTGTTAAGGATTTTTAAGCAAAGATGAATAGTGGCTAGCAGTGGAATCCAGGACACGCGTTTCGTCCCATTTAGGACTCGTCAGCATGTGACTGATGAATTGCAGTCCCAAATAACAATGGGAAGATACAAGCAAAACAACGCCAAGTAAATTTAAACTTCACCTCACTGCACAAGCAGGTGGCTATCAGGACTCATTAGCCAAGTGGATAATGCGATGGCGTTTTAAGCGAACGGTACTGGATGCGAGTCCCGGAGTAAGCATCAACTCTGGGATACAGTTACATCCAGCTAACGAATCCAGGACGAAACGCACGTCCTGAATTCCACTGCTAGCCCCTATCCATCTTTGCTTGAAAAGCTGGTGACTTAAGGCTATATCG